GAAAAAAATTACAGGGCGGCATAAGCCGTCCCTATGGCAGTGAAAGGGTTAATTAGGTAGTTTTACAGATGAGTGTCGCCCGATTAACATGCATACTTGCGTATATTATTTTTTATCTTTTTTAATATGTAAGTTAATAACTGGACAACTTATTGCTCTATTACGCCTTTATTGAAGTAGATAATATTTTACAGTTCCTGTATTTGTTAAACCTCTTGGAAATGACAAGACAGCAATGGGTAAATAATTGCTTTCAAAACATTACGATTGTTATTGCTGTTGTTTTATATTTGCACTGGTGTTGAGTTAACTAACTATTAATCGTCGAAAAACGTGTAATTAGAACATTAAGTTGCACCGTTTCGATGGTAATTATATAAATATCTTGACTTTTTCTTTGGCAATCCTACGCAAAGTCTGTATATTCGATTTGTATTGTCAACAGTTAGTTTTAGGAAATTCGTTATTAAATACTAAAATTAAAAACACTTTGTACAAGTAACTGTTGTATATTAAGTGATGACCTATACTCATTCAAAAATCGATTGTATTTGCCCTTCAAATTTTGGTATTAAGAAAGCTTTTTTTTCTCATTATATTTGCACTTGTTTAGAATTTGAAAAAAAAATTAATACACGAATTGCCTACTATCATTTTCTCACTATTCATTATTTCACGTGTGCACAATCCGTCACATATTTGTATTGCATGACGGTTACATGTTTCAATATTTCACGTGTGGAAGTGAGTCCCTCAATCAGTGTGATATGTGTTTTATCTTTCACGTGGTAAGAATTTTGATATAATTTTCTAATAATATTATCTATATATTTTTTTATTCCTGATAACGGCTTATACAGAGATTAAACTTGCATACTGTTTAAAGTCAAAATTGTAATTGTTACGATTTATTATAAAATTCTTCATTTAAGTTGTAATAATGTACTAGCAATTGTAATGCTCATTGGGTAACGTTTGTTGTAAGTTTACATTCTAGAATTTGTTATTGATACAGAGTTAACATATACCACAGTGTGCGACTTATCATAAAATGTTATTTAAAATTTTGTTTCTTTTTTATCTTTAAAGTACATGGTACTCAGTACATTGGCTTCACCGACGGGAAGCTCGAGGATTACCTGTTCAGAGACGAATCGTTTACGAGCCTACGAGGCGGTTACATGAACACCCAAGCCCCACCAGTTGCAACAAAAATTAAGATCGCAAATATTCAAGAGAATGAATACCTGTATGGTTTGCAGTCTCCAAGACCTGAAAGCGGAGATTCTGCACTGACGGCAAGATCAATAATTAGTGTGTCAGATCTTTTAACAACTGACACCAAAAACATGCCCCTTGGAACTGATTTTACACCGAGAGCCACTGGAAAGTGTCTTCAAGTCGCAAGATTTAGAGAGGAATTCAGGCAGCCAAGCCCAACTGGCAGTGCATCCCCAATGTTACATAGAGCATGTACCCCTGTTTCGGAAATAGAAAACGATCTACCACCTGTTGGAGAAGCAAGATATAGATTATAAATAATGATGACCATGCAAAAAAATCTGGAAACAAAGTGATCCCTCGGAAGCATTAATCACAACAAAATTACAAGAGAATTGCAGACTCGGTTTGATTGAGTCTGTACATGAAATTAACACGAACGAATACTACTGAGATACATCGTTGTCAGACATACAACTATCACAGCATACCAGCACTATATATACATACAACAATTGCGAACATATGCGTGTAAACAGTTCAGAACTTGAAAAGGACAAAATATGATATTTGGACTTATTTCGCAATGAAAACTATATGCTGTGCTTTTAATAAAAATTTTATCTCAACATACTAAGAAATTGTGTTACCAGCAAGTTTATTAGAAGACTTTCGTATATTCCAACATTTTTAAATTGTTTAACAATTATTGATATATATGTTTTTTATTAAAATATTTAAAATTTGGTTTTGTTGAAACCGAGAACGATAATAAATTTTTGAAATGTTACTTTATGTCTACATGAGCTAAAGGGACTTCACTTAGGTTTTTTATATGACAGGGCTTTTCGAGATTTAATGATTTCCATTTGATGAGACCAAAACATTTAAGATCATTCACTCTCTCCGTTTTTTGTAGAATATTTTTTCTTTTTGTTATAAATCACTCAAATAGAAGGTTGCACTTTAATCGGGCTCAGATTTTTTCCATATCGTTCTACTTTAAAAGCCTCAGGTGATTTAAGTAAAAAATTCAAATTTTATGTTTTTAGGCTTTTGGACTTATAGCACTGGAGTTCCTTTAAATACAATTTTGTGTGTTTGCTTGCGTGCGATGATAAAAAACAACTCGGCATGTGTGTTTTCCCATCAAATCTCGTAGTACTTATAAAATTCAACAGTAACAACTTATTTAATTAGTATTAATAGAATAAATAATAGATTTGCTTTAATTCTAAATATGAAACATGTTGGAAAGTATTTGATTCATTATTGCATTTGCTTTTTCATAAGTTTGTCGTAAATGTGTTATATTTATTGTTTTAAAAAATCCTTCATATTATTTACAGAGTAAGTAGCTCGTTAATCATTTGATTGAAGTGTTTGTTGTAAAAGAGTGTCTCACCCATTCAAGCGAAACTTTCTTTGCTTAATTTACTGTTTTAGGAATCGTGATTGGTCTATCTAGTTATTTAAATCAACATATGGTTTGAAGATTGAAGCATGAATTTCTGTTTAATTCATGGGAAGTTTGAATATTATACTATTTTTTTCCTGCCGTGTATGCTTGCCTATTTTCTAATAAACACTGTGATATTTGCATATTTACTCTCCGATTTCTTCTTCATTCCACGGTAAAAAAACCATATAGCTATATATGTGTGTGGTTAAACTGTCATTATAATCAGGTGTCCGTTCGTGCCTGAAATAATGCACGGACGGGCAACTGAGTTTTTCTTCGATCAGTAAAGCTGGAAATTCGCCTTATTAATATTTGATAATACGTGTACTGGTCGGATTCATAAGGCATTGATCAAACGTAAAAAAAAATCTAGGCCACATGAAAATGCATTTTGTCTTAAAATGACGGAAAGATTAGTCATTAAAAGGTTTATCAATTACCCGTAGTAAAATACAGGCCTTTCAATGTTTTCATGAATCACTTTTAATGTATATGTATATTTCGTTTTACCAATCACTTGTAAGTGTTCGTTTTAACGTCTTTTATGTTAATTTTCTTTTCCAAGAGTGGCATTATCAAAGTGCTTACCATTTCAAATATATCTAGGAGAGACACTATGTCTTTTAATATAATTATATTAACTAATAACATGTGCAATCTTTCGTATGGCATTTCACAAAAGCAATTCCTATAAGTCATAATATCAATACGGTATCTATCACAGTGCTATTATCATAAGTATTTAACTTTGCAAACGAAAACCACCATCAGTTTGAATCGCCTGAATAAATGGATTAGCAACCCACGGCATTGAAATAACGGTCAGAATCCAATTAAACCATTAAAAGCAAGGTCAGAATGGTGGAACCTGTCTGTTTTAAACAAATACAATTTAAAAGAAATCCGGCCTAAAGAAATAACAGTCTATTTGTTTGTAAATTAAACTGAAAATAACGTTTCACAAAAGCTGTTCACAAATCCAAAAACACAGCAACAGGCGCAGCTATATTTATGTTTAACAAACTTTTAATCTGTATGTAAACAAAACCAACAGTTGGAACGTTTATGAGGATTAATTACATCTCAATAATATTTTGTATTGATTTGAAATTAAACATTTCTTCAAACAAGAAACCCAGCTACTTGAATGGTGGAACAAAAAAAGTATCAAATACTGTGGTCCGGGAGAGACTCTTCTGAACATTTTAAATCTTCAATTATAAGAAATTTTATTTAAAAATATAGACGGCCCTCTAAATGCATTAGCCCTCTGTTTAAAAAGGGGTGGTAAAAATTTATCCCTAGTTCGGGAAAAAAGGTTTAAAGTTAAATTTTTTTGGAAAAGTTCAATGGGGGGGACAGGGAAAAAAAAAGGGTTTTTTAAAAAAAAAGGGAAAAATTTGAAAAAAAAAATTCTTTTTTTTAAAATGTACTGGGGCTAGATTTTTTTTTTATTAATATAAGCTATATTTCCTCAAACCTAAGTATTTAAAAAGTTGCCAAAATTTGACAAATTAAGTCATAGGTTTTCCTTAAATTTATGAATATAGAAAAAAAAAAATTTTCTTTTTTTCCCTCTAAAAAGGGTCAAAGGCTAAAAAGTAAAATTTTTTTGGATGAAACATTTTTTTGGGTGGACCTCTAAAAAAGATTTTTTCAAAAAATTTAGTCCGGGGGTAAAAATTTTCGCCCGGGCCCCCACGGGCATAGAGATCCATATAAATAAAATAAAAAATATTTATAGTAAAAAAAAAATTTTCTTCTGAAAGGGAAAGGGTTTGAGAGCGAAAATTTTTGGTAAAACATTGCCTTGGTGGGACCTCTTTTCAAATTTATTAAAATTTAATCTTCTTTTTCCCCGCCCGGGGGGGGGTTTTCAAAATTTTAAAACCCTCCCTAAAAGGGCTAAATAGGTTTTGCTTTTGGGGTATAAAATAAAGTTTTTAAAAATCTTTTTTGGGGGTTTTTTTTTTAGGGGGAAACCCCAAAAATTTTTGTTAAAAAATTTTTAAAGCGGGGGGGTAAAAATTTGGTTTCTCCCCGGGGGAAGTTTTTGGGTTTTAAATATGTCTAAAAATATTGGAAAATTTATGGGAAAAAAGCCAGGCATAAAACCCTTTGGGAAATCAACGGGGAAATTTTTTCTTTTTTTTACTTTATAACAAAGACTAAAAAAAAACTTCTCTGGAGGGGCTTACTGTTTGGAAATGAAACATTTTTCTTACGCCCTTTTTTCAAAGCCCTTGGGTCCCCAATTTGAAATTTCCCAGTGAACTAAAGTGCCCCAAACTTTTTCTTTTTTTTAAACAGCTTACAAAATTTTGGACCATGTTTTACAGTTTGGGAAATGTAAATAAAATTTTGACATCAGTGCCCTTTTGGTTTGACATAGTGATTTTTTTGTTGTTTTTTGTTTTTTTTTTTTTTTACTTACATTTAAAATTTTTTTACTATGTGAAACTTTTCGGGTTTTGGAATTAAAATTTCTATTGTCAAATTTTTTAAGTATTGCCCTATGACTTTTTTTTTGGGGTTTTTTGTTTTTTTTTTTGTTTTTTTTTTAAAACATGTGAAGTTTTAAGTAAAATTAAAATTTAAAAATTTTTTAACCTGAATTTTAAATTTTTTGTTAATTATTTTTTTTTTGGATTTTTACAAAAAAAATTTAAAACTTTTTCCTTTCGGCCCCGCCCTTTTAATTAAAAAATCCCAGGTTTTTTTTTTTTGTCCTGGGTGAGCGCTGTTTCGGGGGGGCTGCGTTTTTTTGAAGGTTGGTTAAATTGTAATTTCTTATTTTGTTTTGTTTTGGTTGCACAGGTACCTCGTATAAAAGGCGACAAAACCGGTTTAAGGGCTTTTTTTCCGAGAAGATTCCCAAAGCCCCCCTGAAATTTAATTAAAGGCCCGGCACCTGTTTTGACTTTTTGGGCTCTTTAAAAAAAAGCGCCCAAACTTCAGGTATGTCAAAACTTCTCCCTGCGTATCAAAAACGCCAGAACCCCAATGTGTCCGCCCCATACCCCAAAGGGGGCCTCCATCATTGGGAAACGAATGCTAACCGCTTTTTTTAGACCAAGACCTACCAACGTTTGGGTTTCCCAAAAATCAGGGGTTTAATTTCCCAAAAACGCTAAAAACTTCATCAAAAACCCTCAAGGGCTTCGTCCCCATTCTTTCCCTATCCCGACCCCAAGAGTCCAAATTCCGCCTGTTGGGCAAAACGACAACTCTACATGACCTGGAAACCCCATTTTAAAAACCCCCGGGCAGAAAAAGGGCTGATATAACGAAAAAAAATAACTCTTATTAATTTTAATTTTTTAATATTTGTTAAAAGAGTTTGGTATCTTTAATTCATCTACTTTTTTAAAAACCCTTTTTTTTATTTCTAAGCAGAAAGACATAAGAAAAGCCCGAAAAATTTTAAAAAAAAAAAACTTTAAAAAAATCCATAATTTAGCATGGGAAAGAGTTTATTTATTTTATGTCTCTTTGAAAATTTTAAAGTTAAAAAATTTTTGAAAGGGAAATATAAAAGGTTTTTTTTTTGATACTAATTTTCTATTTAAAGTAAAAAATAAAAATTTCATAATGAGCTTTCCCTTTGAATATTAAAAAAAAAAAGCCTAGGAACAACGTTTTATTGGTCAAAATCAAAAAATTTTAATTTTAAAAAAAACCAACCAAATTTTTTTCTAATGGTTTTTGGGGATCCCCTTTTTTTTCAATTATCACTTTTTATCCCAGGATTCAATATGTTTTTCTTTCTTTTTTCTTTTTTTTTTTTTTTTTAAAAAATTTAGAATGAAGCTTAAATTATTTTTGGGCGTTTTAGCTGACTGACTTTCTAACAGAATAAAAAATTTTTTTTTTCCCGTTTTGAAAATAGGGTTCCAAAAGAACTGAACACACCAAATCAAACAATATTCAAAAATTAAAATTTACAATGTTTTTCCGGGGTTTTTCTGGGGTTTGGCGGTTTTTGTTTTCGGATTTTAAGATGCAAAACAAAATTTATTTGTAAAAAAGATGACAAGAAGTTTAATATTCGAACGCCCCTTCAAAAAAGCTTGTCTCTTTTTTCGAGAAAGAAAATCACCTTTGTAAAATTTCTAAACTCACGTCACTTTCATGGCTTGGCTTTCTAAAAATGTGCATTAAATATTTTCGAATTTGAAAAGTTTTTCTGAAAAGTGGTGAAATATACTAAAGCTGTGATATTTAACGTTGGTTGTGTTTCCTTTCTGTACTATACAAATGTATTTAAACTAGATTCAGTATTATTAGCTTCCCATTTTTCTCTATGTGTATTATTCTTTAAAAAATAGTTGTAGTAGAAAAAAAATATAAAAGAGATAATTTTCCATATTTAAATACCTGTAGTAGGTTTAAAAGTAAAAAATAAAGCAATTTTTTTAAAATTTTTTCCCCCCTTTTTTAAAACCTTATTAGTATTTTTTTTTTTGGGATTTTTGTTTAACCCAATAGGGTTTTAAAACAGCTTCCTATTTATTGTTTTTTTTTTCCCTCATGAAACCAATCCTTTAAATTTTTCTATTTTTTTTAAACTTAAAAAAACATTTTAAAAAAAGTAAAAAAAGTGTGGTTTTTTAACCTTTTGGCAGGGGTTAAAGATTTGAAAAAAAAATTTTTTTCGTTCCCTTTGTCTTTTAAAATGAAAGTCAAAGATTTAAAATTAAAGTAGGGAAATGGTTTGAAAATTTTTTAAAAAAATCGTTCCCCTAAAATAAAATTTAAAAAGTGCATTAGTGGGCCCCGGGAGGAAAAGATTTAATACATTTCAGATTTGAAAAAGTTTTAATTCATTTTTGCGTCAGAATAACTTTAAAAATTTTACGATTAGTCGGTGTTAAAACCCACCTATATTAAAATTTTTTCCCCCCCCAAAAATTGTAAAAAAAACAGCCTTTTTTTTCCCATTTTTCCTTTGTTTTTTTTCGGGTTTCTGGGATTTTAAATTTTTTTCCGTTTTTTTTTTAACAAAATTTTTTAAAACAAAATTTTTCAAAGGTCATTTAAATTTTTTTCCTGCGAAAAAGAATTCCACCCTTTAAAAAGGTAAATTTTTTTCAAGTGAAAAAATTTTTAAATTTTTTTTGTTTTCAATTCTATCTACATAAATTTAATTTAAAAAACTTTTTCGAAAATCTGTGACAGGTTAACGGCGAGTTCAAGTGAAACGGTGATGCGTTAAACCGATTTCAAGGTGTCCAAAATTACAAAAGGGCCCATTTCAACGGAAATTACGTCAGCTATTTTTTTGAACTCGTGTTCCAATGACGTCAGGAGAGTTCTGTTATGTGTACCATCGTCAGTAAGGATTAATACAACATTTTTAGCTGATGGTCGGTCACCGGCTCTGGATCTGAGTGCATGATGGGTCACATATTTTAATCGCAACATCGATATCTCCGCTTCCGCCGTGCAAAGATAAGTGAGCTTAAGGCTCTGACAAACTGAATCTTTGGAATGAAGGTCATCCAGATCGAATATATGTCTAGACGAACTTGCAAACATGCCAAGAGACACATGTATTCAGCGTGTTAATGGGCAATGGGGAAAACTACAGTCATGTAAAAATTGCTCAACCTCCGCTTTGGTACCTTCTGACACTGGTCGACTCATCTATTACAATTACAAGGTCTATTACACAACCTGAAAATCAATTATTTTAACATTTGAGCCGCGTCACGACAAAACCAAACATAATGGGTTTGCGACCAGCATGGATCCAGACCAGCCTGCGCATCCGCGCAGTCTGATCAGGATCCATGCTGTTCGCTATTGGTTTCTTTACTTGTTATAGGGTCTGTAAGCGAACAGCATGGGTCCTGATTAGACTGCGCGGATGCGCAGGCTGGTCTGGATCCATGCTGGTCGCAAACGCATTACGTTGGTTTTGTCGTGACACGGCTCATTTATACTTTCAGTCAATGATGTGTGTCTTTCACGTTGTATTTATGTTAATATGTCGATTTGTTGATTATACAATTTATTTAATCATGTTTATAAAGTACTCTGTCGATGAACGTTTTCACGATTGTTGTTAAAAGTATAAAATTTCCCAACAGGATTAATAATACCTTTCATATGTTGCAGTTTGGATCGAAATATCCGCCCAAGGGGACATGCCCATGGACGGGTTCCCGAGGGGCGGATATTTCGATCCGAACCGCAAACATATGTCAGATATTTTTTCTTACATATACTACCATATGTCGTTATATTTTAAACTCTTTACCTTAATAAAACAATTATTTTCCGTGGACATTATGTCATTACACCCGTAACTATTTTCTTATAACAACGTATGAAATTACAACTTCATTCATAATGGGTAAATTACGTCATCTAAAGAGTGCCATTGTACGGCACGTAACTTATATGGCGCTCCCATGCTAGAAGAAATTTCCGTCAACAGAAACGCCGGTCTGAAGTACAAGAAAATCAGGGATGGCTATTGGAAGCGCTTTTCCAATTTAAATTTTGGTTTTTGCACTTTTGTATATATATTCGTGACTCAAGGCGCCAAGTAAAATACCTGAGTGCAATGACCACCACGGTAGTTTTATTATCAAAAAATAGCTGGCGAATTGCATCGCATTAGCATGTGAAGAGCATGACGAAATCGGTAAGTTTTATGCCCTGAGTACTCGCACTTAATATGCATCATTAACAATCTATCAATTACAATATACATCAACGGAAATGACCATTAAATCCTATTTATGTAGCATTATAATTGACAACTTGACATGAGTCCATGCTCCTTTCAAATATTGTAACCACCGTCATCGTGTTAAAGGCGACGAACACGTAATTGTTCAAATGCTGAAAAAATATATCAAATCTTAGTTATTGTGATTCTTCAGAAATGAAGAAGTTTATGTCTATACATATGGTGCAAGTTACCAGTCGGCCTTGTTGTTGTTGGTTTTGTCGTTGGTCTTGTTGTTGTTGTTGTTGTTGGAATAGCCGTGGTAAATACTTCTGGTTTTGTTGTTAAGGTTTCCGGATAATTACAGAGGTCGTCCGAACAACATGTTATTGAAACGTCACGTGCATCTTTGCTACGCTTTCCGAATGCACTTAAACTACTCCATGGGTCATCACACGTCTGGCATGTAAAGAGTAAAATATAATATATAATTTATTTATTCAAATATGTCATTGTTTTGTTGTTATATTTTCTAGTTACTAATAAAAACAAAGGTTAAGAAAGCTATATATGTATGAAATATTTGTGCGCACTTGTAGTCAACGTACTGGGTTCTGCAGTAAAATTGAAATGTTCTGCATAGGAAAGAAGGGAGATAGCATCGAGAAAGGACACTGGGGTCGTACTCTGCATTATGTACATATGACGTCAACATACTCGAACGAATAAAATTTTCTTCTTTAGTTAATAATGTTTAAATAATGATTTTCGAGTATGTGAGAGGCTTATTACCTGAAAAGGGGAGCGCTGAACGTGTCATTATTGGTCATAAACGTAGCAATATATGTAAACAAAGTATTATTTTGATTTTCATACAAACAAACTAAATCACTGTGACTGTACTAATTTCCAGAAAGTAACAAACGCGAAACATTACACGGGTAATTGACAATGACTCCATTTTGTTCAGCAAATTGTATTTCATATTTAAAAAGAAAAGCATTTGAAATATCTTCTTACCACTTTGTCTGCGCATGTCATTTCATATTCGTGATGTCCATCCAATGCAGATTTTAATTCCTTCTTCATACAAATCTGTAGAAATACTAAATATAAATATATGTACACTTAGGCTTTCCTTTAAAATGAATATAGATATTGAAGTTCTGTTTCCGTTTAATGAACGCAGGGGCAAAAAGTGACTCGACTTCAGCTCGAGAACTCGGCAAGGAGGCACTGGCGTATGTGCCGATACGCAAAAAAAAAACACACTGAATAGAATGTAAAAAAGGATTATATTGTGGGCTAAGAAACAGTTTGGTGGCTGCTTATTGCTGCTTTATACTCAAAATGAGTTCATGTACATCATTTGAAATATTTGAACCATGTACATTTACTCACCTCTCCTTCAGCGCACTTCATTGTTGTATTACAAAGATGGTAGTCTTTCACTGTCGCGTTACAATGATAGCAGGTCACGGCTGTAAACATTGGATTTAATTAAAATAACGTTTATATATAAATATATGTATCTTAAGCATATCAACTAAATGTGCCCTTATTTCTCTCCTTTTTCTTTTTTTTTTCTACCTACATAATTTACAATTTTCCCAGACTGATCTTGTTTCACTTCATTTTGGTTTGTAACTATCTTTGTATCTGACTCTGTAATTTAGTCTTTACGACATTGTGAATACATACATATCATGTTGACGTACAAATAAGCATTAAAGTGCGTATGATAGAAAATATCTCATTACTTAAAAAGAAAACAATATAGTGTATGGAAAGCGGTATGGGACCCTTCCGCCGTTACTACATAATTCAATGTAAATTTCTAATGACGGAAATCCGCCGTTAGAAATACCCGCTCCGCCATAAGCTATCCACTCCGCCGTAATACTTGTCCGGCCGAAAGATTCCGCCGTTATAATGTAACTCAAATGAACTGACGGAAATCCGCCGTTAAAAAACCCGCCCCGGCGTAAAAAAATTCCTGCCCCGCCGTCAACTATCTACTCCGCCGTTATATAACTGTCCAAACGCTACTCAGTCATTAACTCGACTAACTCAACCTATTGATCAACCGTCTAAATTTTCCGATATTAGAGCTACCGTCGCTACATCGAAATTACAACGCCGAATCGCTCGTATGATTTATGCTACTCTGACGGAAATCAGTTCTATTCTGTTCTAGTATGTATACTGACGGGTTTTTACACCGCAAAACAGTTCGGCCGAATTGTTACTAAAAATAGTCATTTTCCGCTGAAATGATGAGGTTTGAACTGAATTGATCAGAAACCCGCCGTAAGCTACCATTAATATTCATATCCAAAGAGCGGGATTTGTGAAATGTTTTCATTGTCGATGCAAATATAACTCCCCCTCTTCCAGCAATCGTAACAACTCGGCAATCTCCGTCAAGTTCGGAGATCTTGAAGTCGCCCGAGGTGTTCCGAGTGCAGTACAACAACAACAACCACAAACACAAGAAACCATTACGAAATTTTGGAAATATAGATTGTAATGTTAGATTTATTTGACAAGACTATATTTGTCAGATCTCAATAAGTGAAGTAGTGAGTACCAATGATCAGATTTACGTTTTGTTTCTAACACGGCTATAAACTGTTAAATTCGTGTTTTAAATAGGTCCTAAATTGCCAAGAAAGTGGGTGGGGTGACAGCTGATTTTTTTTTATTTCAGGAGCATATTAAAATTTTGTTTTATAAAACTTATTCTGTTACGAACTATATGTGAATTCCACATCTTAATTGTCAATGATTGACTGACTTATATAAATACTGTACAGTACGGTACAGTTTAAAGAAAATGAAACTCTAAAAGAAAATGAAACTGCCACTCTGTGCCATACTGTATAGGATATATGTGTGTTTGCTAGGAATTCAGTCATCTGTAAACATGTGTATTTCTCAAAATAAGGAAATGAATTTTCCACCAAGCTGAAAAAATAAGGGGAAGGGCTATGTTCAAGTGTTTAAAAAAACTGTGATCTTCGAAAAAATCCATCCAATTCAGTAATCGCATGAATATTGCACTACAAAATGGGTTCAGTAATTAACTTGGAAGGACAAGAAAACATCTCTATGCATGTCTCATATCCATGTCTTGGAATCCGACCTTAAAAACTTAATCTCTGACTTGATATCTCTTCTTAACTAAGATAATTTCAAACAGTACACTGCCGACCTTTTTTAATTTCTGTTTGTTAGTGATGGTACCTCTGAATACTTTTATAGTAATTTATTCCTAAAAAGGTTTATAAACTAAACAATCAATCATTGATTAAGTAAAACTTTACTTACTATGATTAAAATGAAACAATGATTTAAAATAATGACAACTGGTCATATGTTTACATTAGCAGTGGAAAACTGGAAACATTTAAGTGTTACATGAAAGTATGTATAAAACATACTCGGCTCTATATTTACCATTGATGGCAGCATAAATGGAATGCGCCTATCATTGACTTTTACATTGAGCATTTTAGACATGCCCAAAATACTAGCTTTGCCTCCGTTTTCTTTTGTGATATGTAAACATAATAATGATGTTCATGCCAGCAGTCTGAACTTCCTTGTTTATAAACTCATCAGAAAAAGACAAGCAGTCTTTCATGTTTCTGCTTGTACTGCTTCATATTTTACTTGTAAATACAAGCCAACAAGTGTACTTATTGATCTGAAATTGTGAATTTCTGTATTCTGCAATCAAGTATTTAAAGGTACATACAATAGTATACAAAGTCATGTATTTTGTATTAAAATTTGACTTTAACATGTTTTGTTGTCATGCTGTTCCCTCAACACCCCCTATATTGAGGCATGTGGCCCACTGGACCCTCTTTGAGACAAAGCTAGATTGAACACAGTCACTGGAATTTATTCAGTGATTTTTTTACTTTTTTCGCAACAACCTATACCCCTGAAATTGTGAATTTTTAGCGCGATAATCTGTCAAATTGTGAAAAAAATCAAACAAGAATATATCATCACCTGTAGTCACTTTATTCATTCATTTTAATAATTTATTCATGACATAGTTTCAGCTTTTCTTCTTTTTATTCCCTCAAATATATCAAATCCAAATTCTCAAGATTGTCATTTGTCAGTTTATTATTTTGTTTGGTACTGGGGGAAAAGCAATGCTGCCAATTGTGATTTTTTTTACACATTTTTGTGAATTTTTTATGTATTTTTGGCATTGGGAAGAGGCCTTATTTTGGGGTCAAATCAATCCCAAAAAAAATCAACTATTAAATTATAAACAATTATTGATGTACATGCATCATTGAAATATAGTAAGTTAGTATCGACAATATTTTGTCATGCCATATCGAATATATGTCAAATGTTCAAATATCATTTGCAAATTTGCTCTGAATTACAACTTAAAATTAAGTTTGTAAGGCGTTGTTTTCCACTGTGGCCAGATACAAATTATTTGTTGCACACAATACATTTAATTCAAAGTAATATATTTACTATTTAAATATGTATCCCTATTAAAATGTGGTTTGCCATCATTAGCAATAGTAAAATGACATCATGCAAAAGTGGCAAGGTGATTAGAGTTTAGACAACAGACTATATACATAACTTCATTAAAGGTGTCCCTTTTTACTAGTACCCAGGAACATTTTTAGAAAAAAAAACATTGTGTCCAATGATAATGCCTTGTATTAACTTTAAAACTTAGATTAATGAAATATTTGGGGCTCCCCTTGAGTAAGAAATCTGGTCTTGAAAAATTTCAATAGCTTCCTTGTATGAATCTTAAAATATAATTTTTTCTCTTTTTACATCATAGATATAACTTTATTTTCAGGATTTGTTTGTTCATGCCTGTCAGAAATTTCTTTTTGAAGAAACCAACAAATGGGGCCAGGAAATTCATTATTTTTGCTTTGGAAGCCTAAGCAAAAAATTTTCATGATGTCTTAAAACTTCTAAGATTTTAGAGGGAGGTAAGATGGGTTCACAAGGATTATCACAAACTGCATGCTTTTTTGGGATATTTTGGGCACTAAATTAACTGCCTCTGTTTACAGATAAAGAAAAATTGTCCAGTCAGTGAATAAGTTGACAGTGGCTTCTTCTTTTATCATTGAAAAAGTGACAGTGACTTTCTTCTTTATCCCAATATAAAATGTAAAGTAAAATTTAATATATTTGACCATTGAATCTTTATAATGACTTTTATTGTCCAGGAATTTCAAATATTAAAAGTCGAACTTTGACCCAAAACCCTTTGTTATTTATGTGGCAGATTTGATTTACACTTTGGACAAAAAAAACCCTTATTACCAAACCTAACAATGCTGAGGTATTCTGATATGAAACCTTTGACATGAAGAAAGGTTTAAAATTAATTATTGAATTTGCTTAAATTGTCATTCTTTTGTTATTTATGTACATATTTGATTCATTACTTGTACAAGAGAACACATATGCAAACCTACATTTTGAATCTTTTATTTTTGACATTGACATTTAATTGACATTAACAATTCAAGGACAAATTATTGAAATTTAACTAAAATTGTCAAGACTTTGGTTATTTGTTGGATTTGTTCATTTTTAGCTCATCTGTCACACAAAGTGACAGGTGAGCCCTTTTGATGATCGCTTTTCGTCTGGCGTCTGTCCGTAAACTTTTGCTTAAAAAATGATATCTGCTCATAAACCACTAAGCCAATTTCATCCAAACTTCACAGGAAATGTTCCTTTGGTGGTCACCTTTTAAAAATTGTTCAAAGAATTTAATTCCCATGCAGAAACCCCCTCTGGTTGCCATGGCAACCGAAAGAAAAATCTTTAAATATCTTCTTTAAAAGAACCCAAAGAGCTAGAGCTTAGATATTTGGCATGAAACATCTTCTAATGAGTGTCTACCAAGTTTGTTCAAATAAAAGCCCTGGGGTCAAAATTGGCACCGCCCCGGGGGTTATTGATTTCCCTATATGCATATAGTAAAAACTTAAAATATCTTCTTAAAAAAACCCAAAGAGCTAGAGCTAAGATATTTGGCATGAAACATTTTCTAATGAGTGTCTACCAAGTTTGTTCAAATAAAAGCCCTGGGGTCAAAATTGGCCCCGCCCCAGGGGGTCATTGATTTTCCCTATATGCATATAGTAAAAACTTAAAAAATTTCTTTTAAAGAACCCAAAGAGCTAGAGCTAAGATATTTGGCATGAAACATCTTCTTATAAGTGTCTACCAAGTTTGTTCAAATAAAAGCCCTGGGGTCAAAATTGCCCCGCCCCAGGGGGTCATTGATTTTCCCTATATGCATATAGTAAAAACTTAAAAAATCTTCTTTTAAAGAACCCAATGAGCTAGAGCTTAGATGTGTAGCATGAAACATCTTCTTATGGGTGTCTACCAAGTTTGTTCAAATAAAAGCCCTTGGGTTAAAATTAACTCTGCCGGGGGAGGGGGGGGGAGAAGGTCATTGTT